GTGCAACAACCCTGCACCCAAAACACACCCACACACACGTGATTGGCTATTTACAGTGGCCAAAAGTTCCATAGGCTCTCGGCCGGGAGGCTAGCCTGCCGATAGGCGCCGGCTAGGATCCGCTTGTCCCATTGTTACCGCAAGCAAAGCTCGGCTGCTTCGCATGACCGCGTGGTGAAATGGCCATGCACATGGTCTGGGATGGATACATTACAGGATCCATGCAGGTTATGCAGGTGTTCACTGTGGGGTTGCCAGACTCTAGGTGGTGGATGAAGATCTCTTGGTATTACAACTGGTCTCCAGGTTACAGAGATCAGTTCCCCTGGAGAAAATGGTTGCTTTGGAGGGTGGACTGAACTCTATGGTGTTAGACCATGCTGACGCCCCTCCCCTCCCCAAACTCCACCCTCCTCAGGCTCCACCCCCCAAAAAACTCCAGGTATTTCTCAACCCAAAGAGGCAACCAGGGCTATTTTTGGGCAGGAACGCGCAGGAACGGAGTTCCGGCTGGCTCCTGAGGTGGCCACGCCCAGCAGGAACTCATTAGCATAATAGGTCACACCCAACAGCAGAAACTCATTAGGATTGGCTACATTAGGGGTGTGTGGCCTAACATGCAAAGAAGTTCCTGCTACAAAATAAGCCCTGGGTTTTGACAACAAACAAGGTAAACAGAATAAGAAGCAAAAGGTGGGTGTGGCTGGATGACCACACTTCTGGTAACATGGGGGTGCGGCCTAATGTGCTGATGAGCTGTGCTGTCAGGGGTGTGGCCTAATATGCTAATGCGTTTCTGTGGTTGGGTGTGGCCTATTATGCTAATGAGTTCCTGCTGGGCTTTTTCTACAAAAAGAGCCCTGGCGGCAACCTTAGTTCACTATAACATGTGAACAGAGCTCACGGCTCAGTGGTAGAGCATCTGCTTTGTACACAGAAAGTCCCAGATTTAACCTCCAGTGAAAAGGATCAGGAGACGGGTGGGCCGTGAAAGGCCTCTGACCGGAGAGCTGCTGCCAGTCAGAGCAGACAATGATAGACCAAGGATCTGACCATGGGTGTGAGGCAGACTCGTTCACATTGAGGCTTGGTATGCAGGAGGTTCCAGATTCCATCCACAGTATCTCCAGCTAAAACGGTCAAGTAGCAGGAGACGTGAAACGCCTGGACCCGAAACCCTGGAGAGCAGCTGCCAGCCAGAGCGGGCAATGGTTTGACTCTATATAAGGCAGCTTCCTGTGTCCGTGTGGCTTATACTGTTAGATGTACTGAAATATTAAGAAACACGTTCAAAGAATGCTATGTGTTCCCGTTATCGGTCAGCTTCACAAGAGGATCTGGTTTGTTAATTGCATTCCATTTTCTTTATTATAATGATTATTACAGGAGTTTGGATTTTGGGAAACATGTTTCTAACAGTAATCTCTTTTTTGGCGTAGTGGTTAAGTGCGCGGACTCTAATCTGGGAGAATCAGGTTTGATTCCCCGCTCCTCCACTTGCACCTGCTGGATGACCTTGGGCAAGCCACAGTTCTGTCAGAGCTGTTCTTGAAAAAGAGCCGTTTCTGTCAAGAGCTCTCTCAGCCCCACCTACCTCACAGGGTGTCTGTTGTGTGTTGTGGTGAGGTTAAGGAAAGGAGTTTGTAAGCCGCTCTGAGACTCCTGTGGGTAGTGAAGGGCGGGGTATAAATCCAATCTTCTTTTGATAGTTTCTCACTCCTGTTAGATGAAATTTTGAGGAGTCTTCCTTAATTTTAAGACATATCGGTGGAAGTAATTCCCATTTTCTAGGCAACGGGAAGATTCCCACTTGCAGAGCAGGTGCAGGAAGCTGTGACAAGATTGGCAGATTAGTGGGTTTTTCTCCTGTCCCGGGATCCTTGAAGGGAAGGCTTATTTTAAACAACAGACAAATGTTCAGGCAAGGAGAACCAAACTACGGCTCACCCCCACCCCTGCTTTGTCCTGTGGCACCTCCACCAATTGTATTTTTCTTTGTTGTCGTCTCCGTCTACCTGGGAACAAAATGATTCAAGCAACAGACCGAAGAGCGGGAGAGAGTCAGATTTCGTTCCCCCATGCTCCTGCCCTCCCCTCACTTGAGTTTTATTTTAAAAGACACTCCAATTTCTTTACATATAAGATATTGATGTGTGTGGGTGTGTGTGGGGGAATTTGTACCAGGAAAAAGGTGCCACTGCTTTTACATGACATCGAATGGCAATGAGGTCTGAGACCATAATCAGATTTTCCGCCGTGCACAGAGTGTATCGGATCCATTCTCACTGCTGATCTCACACCCTGTCCTTGTTTGGTTTCATGTGTGTGTGTGTGTGTTTGTTGCTCTTGCTTCTATTCTCTCCTGTATGCAAAGTAGTTAAGCTGTGTATTGTGTGTATGTGGGGGAGGAGGAAAGTCTTGTTCTCTGCTACTACGTAATTCCCTGCCCCAGTCTCTGCGGTGTGCTTTCCTGCCAGTTGGCACAGTCAAAGCATTTGCTTGTGTTATTCTCTGCAGGGTAGGCTTGATGCCGATCACAAGGGGGGGAAGTCTGGGTCAATTCTTCAACCACCCCCTCAGTCGGTGCAACCCTACCAGCTTGGAAGCGGGCATGAAATAAGTTTTGCCCCTGCAAAGCAGGTACAGCCTCACCCAGGTATAAAAATAACTCTTACAAACAAGAGCTATGAGCATATAGAAACAGAAAACCATCCCCAGATCACTGAGGTGGTATCATAATTGACAAAATTTGAAAGCACCATGCACTGAAATGCCAGTAGGAATGAAGCTGTTCGGCAGAAACATCAGCAAATCATTCTGGTTGGATAACGCCCCTGTCAGGCACATACATACAGCATCTTTCTTGCTGTCCTTGGAACCTGGAAAACGAAAGGCAGATACCGAGGTGATGTTCCCAGTAATATTTCCAGTTCAGTGCTGGAAAGTATTGCAGTCAGATTGATTATGTTAACTGTCTTAAATAATGGGAATTATTTGGGTTACATTTTGATTTGTCATGATCTGAATCCTCATACCTAAGTCACAACAACCCATTTAAATAGGATAAAAGTATCTTTCGCAAAACAGTTTGGTAAGACCACAGATTCTCCCAAAGCCCACTACACTAGGAAGGATTAAAATGTGTTATTAAACTAATTTCAGTCTACCTTTCTCCGTGAAACAAGGACTCCGAACAAGGATTCATGTATACCCAATGAACCATAAAACCATCTCATTAAAACAAGAATATATAATATAACCACATACCAGTGAATAACGGCTTATCAGCACCACCCACCCGTACTTGGAATCTGAATCCCTTGCACTGGTCAGTTAATGGGATGGGCTCACATAACTATTTACCGTGGCGTGGACACTGTGTTAACATGTCTCTAAATGGGGAGAGAGGGAAGGCCAAGGAGTAGCAGTAGAAGAAGAAGAGGAGGAGAAGGAGGAGGAGATTGGATCTATGCCCCGCCCTTCACTACCTGAAGGGGTCCCAGAGCGGCTTACAATCTCCTTTCCCTTCCCCTCCCCACAACAGTCACCCTGTGAGGTCGGTGGGGCTGAGAGAGCTCTCTCGGGAACTGCCCTTGAGAGAACAGCTCCTAAAGAACTTGTAACTGACCCAAGGTCACACCGGCAGCTGCATGTGGAGGAGTGGGGAATCAAACCCAGTCCTCCCGGATTAGAGTCCATGCTCCTAACCACTACACCAAACTGGTATAGCCTGATCTCACCAGATCTCAGAAGCTAAGCAGGGTCCGTGCTTGGATGGGAGACTGCCAGGGAAGACTCTGTAGAGGAAGGCAATGGCAAATCACCTCTGCTTAATCACGTACCTTGAAAGCCCCTTCTGCCTGGGGTTGCCATAATCGTCTGTGACTTGACCACACATACATACATACATAACTGTGGGAAGACCCTCTCCCCTATAGGGCAGTGTCCCTGTCATCAGCAGCATCGGAGGTAACTGGCTTTGCCTTTTGGGTTCCTACCATCACGGGCACTGTGGGTTGGATACAACCAGTGTTGGGAAAATAGGCAAAAATACTTAAATACTCAGAAGAAGAAGAAGAAGAGATTGGATTTATACCACCCCCTTCACTAAAGAAGAAGAAGAAGAAGAAGAAGAAGAAGAAGAAGAAGAGGAGGAGGAGGAGGAGGAGGAGGAGGAGGAGGAGACTGGATTTATACCCCGCCCTTCACTACCCAAAGGTGTCTCAGAGGGGCTTACAAACTCCTTTCCCTTCCCCTCCCCACAACAGACACCCTGTGAGGTAGGCGGGGCTGAGAGAGCTCTTGACAGAAACTGCTCTTTTTCAAGAACAGCTCTTATCAGAACCACGGCTTGCCCAAGGTCATCCAGCCAGGTGCAAGTGGAGGAGTGGGGAATCAAACCGGGTTCTCCCAGATTAGAGTCTGTGCACTTAACCACTACACCATACTGGCTCTCAGTTTCTCAGAGTTTCCAATGGATCTTTGCTTCACTGGAGAGGAGACATTTCTTTCTATGTAAAAATCTTTCTAAGGGAAGGGTTCACATGGAAAGCTACAAAACAAGAGATATTTAGACCTACATCTTTGCATCCTTACTGCACGGAACACATGGTCACACACGATGGAGTTTCTTCTTCTTCTTGACCCCTAGAAGGAAGTCACCCGAACACAGTAACCAATGATTGATAGTAAACAGACTTAGATTTTCCCGGACTATCTTCCCATTGGCTCTGAGCCAAGTTTCCCTTCCAGGTCAGTCTAAACAACAGCACAGAAGGTAAACAACAGATTAACCCTATAATGACTGGGATCTAAACCTTGCCTCTCACACATTTCCAACAACCAGCACTGGTTTTATCCCAGCATAGTACGGGTGGGGTAGGGAAATACCTTGAGCTGCCCCTGCCTTTAAGGTCCCCCATCATGCCTTAAAGAGAGTTACTGCCTCTTTCTCAGGGATGCTTTTCTCTCTCCTTTCCTGACCTCTCCCTTCTCTCCAGGTGGTATCATGGCCACCTTTCTGGCCCAGCAGCGGAGGCCTTACTTCAGGCCAAGGCCGCACCGTGGACCTTCTTAGTGCGCGAGAGCCTCAGCAAGCCCGGCGATTTTGTGCTGTCGGTCCTGACTGACCAGTCGAAATCTGGGATGGACGCCGCTTCGACCGGAGCCGCCAGCATCCCCAAAGAACGGCGCAAAGTCACTCACATCAAGGTCATGTGTGAGGTGAGGAATCGGGGACGGGGGGAGGAGGCATGAAATACCTTCCTGCACAATAGAACCTGAAACCCCCGCCCTCAGCTGATTTTATCTGTCATGACGAGGCCCTCAAGAATCCTAGTTTCTGGTGGTTGTAGCCGTGTTGCTCTGCAGTAGAAGAGCAAGAAACGAGTCCAGTAGCACCAACAGGATTTCCAGGGTATTTCAAGAGCCTTTGTCAGATACAAGTAGGAATGGATATTCCTGTCCAGGGGTCCTTTCGTAGAAAAAGAGGTGCAGGAGCTCATTAGCATAACTCATTAGCATAACTTATTTGCATATGCCACACCCCCTGACATTATTGGAAGTGTGTCAGAAGGCAACACCCACTGCTCAGGCTCCACTGGACTGTTTTGGATTGCTAGCTTTTTTGGGGGGGGGGAACGTGCAGATCTGTCCTTGCAGAGGAGGGAGAGCTTGTACCTGAATAAAACTTGGTCTTAAAGGTGCCACTGGACTGTTTTGGACTGGGGGGCCGGCTCTGCAGCTTACCTGGCTGCTTCTTGCTCTGACTGAGGGCTGCTGGGAGCAGGGGGTATGGCTTGTTGCATGTGCCCGTCCCCTGGGCTCTTTACTGCCGGAGCTCCGCTCCTGTGCGCTCCTGCAGGAAATGACCCCTGTTCCTGTCTCCTCAAGAATTCTGTAAGTCTACTCTGACCTGGATAGCCCAGGCAAGCCCAATCTCATCAGATCTTAGAAGCTAAGCAGGGTCGACTCTGGCAAGTACTTGGATGGGAGACCTCCTTGAACTACCAGAGGTGGGAGGCAGGGGCAGGCTTTATTTAGCCACCTCTCTGAATATCCTCCAGCCCCCCAGTAGGGGTCAGTCACCAGAAGTCGCCATGACTTTCAGGTGCACACACAGTCAGTCACCAGAGGTCGGCATGACTTCCAGGTGCATGCGCGCATACACACGTGCACATATTAAAAAATAATAATCCTATAAGTCTGATTTGTTTATTTCAGTTCACTTGACCATATTTGTGCCTTCTTGAGGTACATACATGGATTCTTTCCCACTCCACATTTATTCTTACAACAGCCTTGTGAGGCAGGTTGAGCTGAAAGACAGCAACTGGTCCAGGGTCAACCAGTAAGGCCGAAATCACTGTAAAACATGTGACGAAGGGAGCAGTCAGTGAAACCCAAAGCATCTTCTACTGAGTCAAGTTTTCTGTTTATTTTTTGCAGTTCTGCCAGCAGATGGCGAGCAAGATCAGTGTCAGGTTGATTGGCAACATGGCTGCCCATCTTGATCTAACAGAGGGACATGGCTGTCTGGAACTGCTTGAGCAAGCCCGAAAGTCTTTCCCTTGGCTTTACAATCAGGCAGTGCTCTCTTGGTCCAAGGAACCCACAGTCATATCTGTTTCCCACTTGATGGGCCTTCTTTGCAGATGAGCGTGAGCTGTTACATATACAAGGGACAGGAATAACACCCATTTTAATTCCTTCCAGAGGGGGACGTACACCATTGGAGGCCCGGAAAGATTTGGAAGCTTGGCTGACTTGGTGGATCATTTTAAGAAGACAGGCATTGAGGAGGTTTCTGGATCCTATGTGTATCTCAGACAGGTAAATACAGAGGTGCACATGCCATTTTATTGTCTTTATCTGCTTCTTTGTTTAGTTTCTTCCTCTTTTAAAATTTTTCTGCTTTGTTTCTCTCCTTAGACGCTAGTTGTCGTCTCTGCTGTTCTCCCTGCCAGCTTCCAGGGACAATTAGCTGCTAAGAAGAGAAAAGAGAGAGATACAGAGGAACGATTCCAGAGGGGAGGGGCCACTGGCTTAGCGGTAGAGCACCTCCTTGGCATGCAGAACCAGGTTCAATCCCCGGCATCTCCAGTTAAGAGGACCAGGCAGTAGGCAGTGTGAAAGACCTCTGCCTGAGATCCTGGAGAGCAGCTGCCAGTCTGAGTAGACAATACTGACTGTGATGGACCACGGGTCTGATTCAGTATAAGGCGGCTCCATGTTTCAGCCACCTTAGTCTGTCGCAGCAGAAATAAACAGGAGTGTCGTGGCACCTGAAAGACAAACCACTGATTTATTTCGGAAGCTTTTGTGGGCTGGCACCCACATCATCACACGAAACAGACGAAGTGGGCTGCAATCCGCAAACACGCTGGAATGAAATCCTGTTTGTCTTTAAGGTGCGAACAGGATCCGGTGTATCGTTCAACAAGGAAGGAGGCCAGCAGCTTCAAGCTCCCATCTAGATTCCTCTGCCTGTAATCCCAGCGTGTTTATTCACTGCATTCCTGGCCCATCATGAAAGGCTCAAGGTTCCCTGGAGGCCTTCCTTTCAGGCACTGTGTAGATCATACCCTGGCACCAGCCCTCAACATCCTGGCTCACGTGTGGCCTCTTTTTGCATGAGGCAAGGCCTATATGCAATGCGCATGCTAGCATGAGCCAGCCTTCAGAGTCAGGGATGCCGCAGGGCTCTGCTCTCTGGCCCTGCCCTTCTGGCTTAAGCAAATGTTTCTTTGTGCCCCCGCCCACCTCCTTTGCTTCTCTTCTTTCTCCCCTTCCTCAGCCTTTCAACGCCACCCGAGTGAATGCGGCCGACATTGAGAACCGGGTACAGGAGCTCAACAAAAGGAGCCAATCGGAAGAGGTGCCAACTCCAGATTGGGAAATTCCTGGAGATTTTGAGGGGGGGGAGCCTGGGGAGGGGGTTTTTTGGGGAAGGGAGGGACCTCAGCAGGGTATAAGGACGCAGAGTCCCCTCCCCTCCCCAAACTAGCCATTTTCTCCTGGGGAACTGAGAGCCAGTTTGGTGCAGCGGTTAGGAGCGCGGACTCTAATCTGGGAGAACCGGGTTTGATTCCCCACTGCTCCCCACACAATTGCTGGTGTGACCTTGGGTCAGTCACAAGTTCTCTCAGAGCTGTTCTCTCAAGGGCAGTTCTTGGCAGAGCTCTCTCAGCCCTACCTACCTACCTCACAGGGAGTCTGTTGTGGGGAGGGGAAGGGAAAGGAGTTTGTAAGCCGCTCTGAGACTCCTTCGGGTAGTGACGGGCGGGGTATAAATCCTCTTCTCTTCTTCTTCATCTCTGGAGTGTGGAGATCAGATGTCATTCCAGGAGATCTCCAGGTCCCTCCTGGAGGCTGGCAGCCTTACTATGTGTCTCTTGGAAGCCCCGCCTACCAGTTGTATGCATCCCTGCCTCTCCTAGTGCTGCACATGTCAACCCCTCTCGTGGGAAAGGCCGCCTTCTCCAGTTTCCACGGCAGGGATGCCAGCCTCCAGGTGGGACCTGGGAATCGTCTGGAATTCCAGCTCATTTCCAAGCGACAAGAGATCAGTGACCCTGGAGAAAATGGATGCTTAGGAGGGTGGACTCCAATGTTCCCTCTAAGCTGAGTCAGTGTGAGCCAGCTCACAGTTTTCCAGCGTGTTTATTCACTGCATTCCTGGCCCATCATGAAAGGCTCAAGGTTCCCTGGAGGCCTTCCTTTCAGGCACTGTGTGACCGACCGAGCTCTGTGCCTGCTTAGTTTCCACAAGTATCCTGGGCTTTCAGATCATACCCTGGCACCAGCCCTCAACATGTGTGGCTCACGTGTGGCCTCTCTTTGCATGAGGCAAGGCCTATGCGATGCGCATGCTAGCATGAGCCAGCTTTCAGAGTCAGGGATGCCGCAGGGCTCTGCTCTCTGGCCCTGCCCTTCTGAGGGATCTGGCAACCCTATTCCATGGAGGGCTTTCAGGCAGAGCCACGGCCTTCCTCCAGGCTGGGACTGAAGAATCCCACCCCTAAGTTAGGGACCCAAGAGAAGGAGGAGGAGGAGGAAGAAGAAGAGGACGAGATTGAATTTACACCCCGCCGTTCACTACCCAAAGGAGTCTCAGAGCGGCTTACCATCTCCTTTCCCTTCCCCTCCCCACAACAGACCCCCTGTGAGGTAGGCAGGGCTGAGAGAGCGCTCTCGAGGACTGTCTTTGAGTGAACAGCTCTGAGAGAACTGTGGCTGACCCAAGGTCACACCACAGCGTGTAATTAACTTTGATTTAATGAGTCCGCGCTCCTAACCACAACACCAAATTGTGATTGTAGGGGAGAGGAGTCTGGGTTTGTGAGCCTGAGTGGATTTTCCTAAGGAGCTCTTCAGGGAAGCCTCACAGAAGGCAGCCTAAATGGAACCACAGGCAGGCTCACCCACATGTATCCTACTCAATTGTTTTAATTGTTATTTCTTTAACCCCAGATGTGCAGACCGCTTTGCAGAAATAGTGAGCTAAAGGACAGGACCGTGCTCCAAAGAACTTATAATCTAAAAACTGATGGGGGAGGCGACAAGGCAGGGAATAAAGATTTTAAATTAAAAAATACAAAAAGAAATAAGCGGGGGTGAAGTCACAGCACCCTAGATGGTCCCCTCCCTGTCCTGCTTGAGGAGTGCCTTAAGAAGTGGTGCATTTCCTTGCTTGTCTGCCGCTTCCGGAGCCAGAGAGAGGTTGCCATTCTCAGCCGGCAGAAACAAAGAGAACTTTTTATGATCGGCATGTGGGCCAAACACCAGACAACAAAGGCCACCATAAGAACACGTATGAAATCCAGCGACACCCCCTGCTGCACATGACCATAAATGTGTACTTTCAGATCTCCGTCTTACTGTCATTTCCCCTTGCCGCGTGCCCACACGCCCCCGTCCCTTAGCCTTTAGGCCAAATCTGCATCTAGCATTTGCTTCACTGCTTATTAGTGTTGTTCAAACACCCTCTCCCCTCCCCTCCTCCCCTCTTCCTCTTTCAGAGCCTGCAGAAGCAAGACTCCAAGAACCTGTATGATCGGCACGAGGGCCAAAGGCCAGAGAACAAGAGCAAGAACCGCTATAAGAACATCTTGCCTTGTGAGTCTGCACAACAGGGAAAAGGCTGGGCTAGAAACTTTCTCCCGGAGGCGGAAACTTTCTACTTAGAGGGAGGAGAGAGGGTTTAAAAAAACCAGAAACATGGGGGGAGCATTCTCCTCCCCCCACCAACTGCAGTCTGTAATGATTCATTCTAGGTTTTCACGTGCTCAGTTCTGTTGCATGAAAAGATTCAGCCAACCAGGGGTCATTTCGTAGAAAAAAAAAGTGCAGGAGCTCATTAGCATAACTTATTTGCATATGCCACTCCCCCGACATCATTGGAAGTGTGTCAGAAGGCAACACCCACCGCTCAGGCTCCACTGAACTGTTTTGGATTGCTAGCTATTGGGGGGTGGGGGACGCGAAGATCTGCCCTCACAGAGGAGGGAGAGCTTGTACCTGAAGGCGGGCGGGCCCGGCGGGGGGGCCTCTGCAACTTACCTGGCTGCTTCTTGCTCCTCGTGGCCCTACTGAGGGCTGCTGGGAGCAAGGGGCGGGGCTTGTTGCATGTGCCCGCCCCCTGGGCTCCTTACTGCCGGAGCTCCGTTCCTGTGTGCTCCCGCAGGAAATGACCCCTGCAGCCAACAGAGCATCTGAAGAAGTGAGCAGTGACTCAAGAAAGCTAGTGTTCTCCTGCCACAAATTTTCTTAGTCTTTAAGGTGCTACTGGGCTCTTACTGTTTTCTGCTGCTACAGACAGACTAACACGGCTACCGATCTTGAGCTATAGCCAGCAGAGTGAGCCCGCTCGTGGGGTAGGGCGGGGTAAAAAAACCCCACAACCTAAATAAATAAATAAATAAAAAAGGGGGGTGGGCTATTCTGTAGAATTATGAAAGTGTAGCGTTGAGAGAAGTACCGACCCTCCTTAGCTTCTGAGATCTGATAAGATCGGGCTACACCATGCTGCCTTTCCCTCCCACTTATTTTAGTTTTAATAGCTTTTTTATTATTATTGTTATTTTAAATTAAAATAGGGACACAGGAAAACAAGGGGAAAGGAGGTGTAGATATTATAATAATCTATAACTTATTCATAACAAGGACAATCAACTTCAGAGTAAATATAGAGCATTTAGCATAAACATTTAAAATACATAGTATTAGAAAGTTTTTTACATACTGTATACGTTTATTATTAAAGCCTAGCCTTTATTACCATTAACTGTTAGACATTGATTATAACATTATATGTTCCATTACATCTTAATGCCCCTACAGTTGTAATCAAACTATAATCAAAGAGTACATTTTAAGAGCATTTCTAAAAATAAGAAGGATAACAATGAACTAGGTTCATATATACATCAAAAGCTATTTTTATGGTCTAGAATATGGCATTATTTCAGAGAACACTTATATTTATACCATTGTAGTATTATCTATAACAACCTGAATTATATTAGTGCAATTATATTATTGCCTAAGTTATCATCATACTGATGAAAAAATAAAAATAAAAAAGTGTTATAGTAATTTTAATACAAGTCACTCATTTTTCATCTTTACTTACAATAAGCATAGTAATTTCCCCATTTTTTTTCAAATTCTCTGACTGGTCTTTTATTTATATAGTTTGTTAATTTGGCCATGATCACCCTCCCACTTATTTTATTACACTTATACCCCTCCTTTCTCCCGAAGGAGAATGCAAAGCACCTTATGCTGTTCTCTCCTCCATTTTATCCTCTCAACAACCCTGTGAGGTAGCTCGGGTTGAGAGTGTGATACTGGCCTAAGGTTTACCCAGCAAGCTTTTGTAGCAGAGTGGGGGTAGGGATGCCATTCCTCAGTTGGGGGCGGGGAATCCCCCCAATTTTGGGGTCTCTTCTCCCCCACTGGCCAGTTGGCCAGCGGGGGAAAATCCCACCCCCCCAAATGTGACATAATAACATCACACCTAAGTGATGTCATCATGTTGGTGACACTCTGGTATTTTGGGGGAAACTCTATGGTTACCATAGAGTTTTGCCCCAAATACCAGAGTGCTGCCGCGGAACGTTACTGACATGATGATGTCACTTCCATGTGATGTCATTGCATTGCACGCACGTCGCACACTCCCCCCGCTACTGGAAAGTCCCTCCCCTCCCCCGCTGCTGGGTTGATCCGATCTGGCAACCCGAGAGTGGCGTTTTGAACCTGGGTCGGTCTCTCAAACCTGGGTCCAACACTGTAACCGCTGTACCACTCTGGTGTAGGATCTAAGCATAAGCCCGCTTTGCAAAAAGAGCAGAGTATTTCCTCAGAGTTGTGATTTCTCTCTGTCTGCTGTTCCAGTTGACCACTCTCGAGTCATCCTCCAAGACAGAGAACTGAACGTTCCTGGGGCAGATTACATCAATGCCAACTACATCAAGGTGAGGAGGGGGAGGAGGGCCCCCTGGCGCTTCCGGAGGGTGGGGAAGTATTGTGCAGTGGGTTAGCCGCATGGAAGGCCCGCTGCGGCTCGCATGCTACCCTGCACACCTTGCTAGTACACAACAAAGACAAAGACTAACGGCTGGCTGGCCAACTATGTACATACCTGGGGACATGCCCCCAGGTCCCGTTGGTGGGTTTAAATCTCCCGCCACGGTCCCATTGGTCCCCCAGTGGAGGGACCAGGAGCCTAGGCCCCATTGTTCTTCCAGAGTCAAGCTCTGAGGTATTCGCCGGCCCCTGGTGGCGGTCAGCGGACGCAACAGGAAGGGGTGGATTGGCCCCCGGCCCTTCTCATTTCCCCCCGTGCGTTCTTCCCTCACAGAACAATCTCTTTGGCCCCGAGGGGTTCAGCAAAACCTACATCGCCAGCCAAGGCTGCCTGGATTCCACCACCAACGATTTCTGGCAGATGATGTGGCAGGAGAATTCGCGCATCATCGTGATGACCACCCGGGAAGTGGAGAAAGGAAGGGTAAAGAGGGACCAGGGAGGGCCCCTTACTCCGTAATCTCGCCCCCCCGCCCCCCCCACCCCGGGTTCCCACCTGCTTTATTTTCCATCTCTTCTTTTAGTCCCCCTCCTCCATAGGCACGTGTAAAACTGGCCCAGAGATGTTTTGCTGGTCTGAGGGCCGAACGGAATATCCAACTCGAACACGATGCACAAGAACGCCTGGGTCCTGTGGTTCAAGGAATGAGCTGTCATGTCCAAGCACATGTCTTCAGATACACTGAAACGTCCGAAGAAGTGTGCTTACACATGAAAGTGTATACCCTGAGGGAAAGCTGGTTGGTCTTAGGGGTGCCACCTGACTCAGACGTTGTTCTGCTGCTTCAGACCAACACGGCTACCCTTCCTGCTTCTTTGCTGCACAACAGGCTGCGGGAGGGTCAGTTTAGAGCACAGGAGCAGCTGTGGGGCTCTTCCCTGCCCTCTGCTTTGCTGAGGAAAACCAGGGCTATTTTTGGGCAGGAACGCACAGGAACGGAGTTCCGGCTGGCTCCCGAGTTGGCCACGCCCAGCAGGAACTCATTAGCATAATAGGCCACACCCAACAGCAGAAACTCATTAGGATTGGCTACATTAGGGGTGTATGGCCTAACATGCAAAGGAGTTCCTGCTACCAAAAAAAGGCCCTGGGTTTTGACAACAAACAAGGTAAACAGAATAAGAATCAAAAGGTGGGTGTGGCTGGATGACCACACTTCTGGTAACATGGGGGTGTGGCCTAATATGCTAATGAGCTGTGCTGTCAGCGTGGGGCCTAATATGCTAATGAATTTCTGCTGTTGGGTGTGGTCTATCATGCTAATGAGTTCCTGCTGGGCTTTTTCTACAAAACAAGCCCTGAGGAAAACCAATCCCCGCTCCAGTAGGCTCAACAGGTCCTCCCTGGGGTTGCCAGCTTCAGGTTGGGAAAGTCCTAGGGATTTGGAGGCGGAGCCTGAACAGTGGGGGCACAGTGCCACAGAGTCCACCCTCCAAAGCATCCGTCTTCTCCAGGGAAACTGATCTCTGTAGTCTGGAGATGAGCTGTAATCAGGGGTCATTTCCTGCGGGAGCGCACAGGAGCGGAGCTCTGGCAGTAAGGAGCTCAGGGGGTGGGCACATGCAACAAGCCCCTGCTCCCAGCAGCCCTCAGTCAGAGCAAGAAGCAGCCAGGTAAGCTGCAGAGAGCCCCCCCCATCCTGCCTTCAGGTACAAGCTCTCCCTCCTCTGTGAGGACAGATCTGCACGTTTCCCCGTTCCCCCCCCCCCCCAATAGGTAGCAATCCAAAACAGTTCAGTGGAGCCTGAGCGGTGGGTGTTGCCTTATGACACACTTCCGGTGATGTCAGGGGGTGTTGCATATGCAAATGTTATGCTAATGAGTTATGCTAATGAGCTTCTGCACCTCTTTTTCTACGAAATGACCCCTGGCTTTAATTCATGTTGAAATCCAGTTGGGCAGTCAAGAAGCAACAGGCTTTTATGAACTGCAGCTTCTTGATGTGAGAAGTAATTGGACTCCCTTGGAAACTCCTCTGGCTTTCCCTAGAAAATGAGATATTCTCCCTGTGGTTGAATCTCCATATCAGCTTTTAATTTCACAGCCTTGGGAGGTGCGTACCCCCCCACCCCACCCCTGCCAAGAAGTGCTTGTAGTCTTGTGCGTATGTGTGAAGCGCTGTCAAATTGCTTCTGACTTAACAGCAACCCTGTGACTAATGACCTCTAAAACACTCTATTGTTAAAGCCTTGCAGACTTTCCTCGAAATGCTTCCAGTGTTTCACCTACAACGGAATCTGCAAATTCACTTCCAGTTTTTCTGTCAGTGAAGGTAGCAAGGGTACTTCTTCCGGGGGCCCTTACAAACCTGTCCCATTTTCTTCCAAACAGAACAAGTGTGTCCCCTACTGGCCAGAGGTGAGAAGCAGCAAAAACTACGGGCCCTACATAGTGGAGAACAATGGCGAACACGATGCCCTGGAGTATAAACTCCGACACCTCCGTCTCTCGCCCGTCAGTAACGTGAGTGAGGCAGGCATGGCTGTGAAAGTTGAATCGCCAGGACATTTTGGGGCGTGAGGGGAAGGGGACAAAGGAAAATACCAGCTTGGGGGAATATCCACACAGGGGCTGTTTTGCGCTTGTGAGGGACGAATTCTTCCTCAATCTGCCGGAAGCAGAACTGAAACTGGGATTCCACAGGGCACTTGGTATACTGTTATATATTTCCCATGAAATATGTATTTCTCATTACAAATCGTCACATTTCTCATAAAAATCTAACGAAGTCCATCCCCGTGGGCAGGGCCTTATATGTTCACTCAGCAGTAAATCCAGTTCAGCAAAAGCTCTATTTCTCTCTGGGAGCCAGTTTGGTGTAGTGGTTAAGAGCTGCGGACTCTAACCCGGACAACTGGGTTCGATTCCCCACTCCTCCACATGAAGCCAGCCTGGTGACCTTGGGTCTGTCACAGCAGTTCTCTCCGCCCAAAAAACAAACCTAGCTCGCCACAAAGAGAGCTAGAGTTTCAGGCTGCCAGACAACCTTCGGCTCTTCCAGCGACACTACGCCCACCGCCATCCATTCATTAAATAATTCTATTCCTCTCTGCCGCTCTCCCTTTCGGTTCCTTTGTTTTAAGGCCTTATTAAGTGGTTCCGTTCCACTCTGTGGTCAGATGCAGGACAGAGAAAGGGAAGTACTTCTCCGTTCAAAGACGGAGCTGAGTGCCAGACAGGAACAAACAGCCTTGTGGAATTCACTGCCACCTCGAGGCTGGCTTTAAGATTCGTGGAGGGGACGAAATGGAACTTCCCGGTTCAGATCTTTCAGAAGCAGTGACCCTCTGGATACCAGTAGCCACTGCACAGGTGCCGCAGTCCTCGGCGTTTTGGCTGCTTGCAGGGGTCATTTCCTGCGGGAGCGCACAGGAGTGGAGCTCCGGCAGTAAAGAGCCCAGGGGGTGGGCACATGCAACAAGCCCCACCCCCTGCCCCCAGCAGCCCTCAGTCAGAGCAATAAGCAGCCTGGTAAGCTGCAGAGCTCCCCGCCCCCCGTCCAAAACAGTCCAGTGGCACCTTTAAGACCAAGTTTTATTCAGGTACAAGCCCTCCCTCCTCTGCGAGGACAGATCTGCCCCTTCCCCCCCCCCCATAGCTAGCAATCCAAAAGAGTCCAGTGGAGCCTGAGCAGTGGGTGTTGCCTTCTGACACACTTCCGGTGATGTCAGGGTGTGTGACATATGCAAATAAGTTATGCTAATGAGTTCTGCTAATGAGCTCCTGCACCTCTTTTTCTGCGAAATGACCCCTGGCTGCTTGAGAAGGAGTTTGGCTATGGGTGGGTCAGAGGCTGGCCAGATTGGTCTGACTTTACCACTCTTCATGATGCTCCAAATCCTCCCTTGTAGGCGATCGGTAGAAGATGAAGTTCAGTCAATTCAAAGAAAGTGCTGAGTAGTCTTCCTCCCTCCTTTGCTCTGTCCTTGGGAGTCAGGATGGCTTTCTTCTGTTGACGTTCGGCAGCAGAATCTGCACTCAGAGCCTGGGAAAGACAGGAAGGTGCCTCTACACCGAGCGCAGAGTATCGATGTGCAGTCTAACCTGAAGGCACTGTAGTCATTCTGAAGGAAACGAAGCTCTCTTTCCATGGCAGTACTCTCTTTTCACGGATATAGATGTTTATTTACCTCAATTATACCCTTTTTTCCCCCTCAGTGAGGACCCAAATTAACTTACAACAGGCTCTTCTCCTTCATTTTATCCTCTGAGGTAGGTTAGGCGGATAGCGTGTGACTGGCCCAAGGTCACCCAGCGAGCTTCTGTGGCAGAGTGGGGATCTGAACCTGGGTCCCCCAGATCCTAATCCGACACTGTAACCATTACACTACTTTGGCTCACGCGGCGATCTTTCATTTGGTTGAGGATACCAACTGGTTGGCCCTCACTTAGGGACATCCCACCGGCCGATCCCTCATTCTCTGGGACTTAGGACAGCGTCCTCCTGTTGACTGTCAGGATGAGGGGAGCAGTGGGGTGATGAGAGACAGAGGAAGGGAAGCCGACTGCCAGATCAGGTTGTGTTGTGGTCACTCTCTAGGGCGAGGCTGTGCGAGACATCTGGCATTATCAGTACCTGAGCTGGCCTGACCACGGAGTCCCCAGCGAGCCCGGTGGCGTCCTGGGATTCCTGGACCAAGTCAATCAGAAGCAGGAGAGCATTCCGGGAGCCGGGCCCATCGTGGTGCACTGCAGGTGAGCGAACACACATGAAGCTGCCTTCTCCAGAACCAGGCCATTCGGTCCATCGAGGTCAGTTGTGTTTCATCAGGCTGACAGCTGCTTTCCGGGGTCTCAGTCAGAGGTCTTTCCCATCACCTACTGCCAGGGGTACATTTCCTGCAGGAGCGCACAGGAGCGGAGCTCCGGCAGTAAAGAGCCCAGGGGGCGGGCACATGCGACAAGCCCCGCCCCCTGCTCCCAGTAGCCCCGGGCCACAAGAAGCAAGAAGCAGCCAGGTAAGTTGCAGAGGCCCCCCCCCCCAGATAGCAATCCGAAACAGTCCAGTGGCACCTTTAAGGCCAAGGTTTATTCAGGTACAAGCGCCCCCTCCTCTGTGAGGGCAGATGTGCATGTCCCCCCCCATAGCTAGCAATTCAAAAGAGTCCAGTGGAGCCTGAGCGGTGGGTGTTGCCTTCTGACACACTTCCGGTGATGTCAGGGGGCATGGCATATGCAGATAAGTTATGCTAATGAGCTCCTGCGCCTCTTTTTCTACGAAATGACCCCTGCCAACTACTTGATCATTTTTTAACTGGAGGAGCTGGGACTTGAACCTAGGGCCTTCTGAGGGCCAAGCAGATGCTTTACCTCAGAGCCACGGACTCTCCCCGTTTGACACCCGTTCTGTGTGTTCTAAGGGGAAAGACTTGTGTTTTCCCCCACACGGTGCATGATCAGTTTATGCCATTCACTCCCACCAGATTATAGTAATAGCCCCTCGTTTGTTTGTTTTAAAGGCGTTGAACAGAGAACGGGGATCAAGGCCTGTGATCTTTCTCACACTTTTTTTCCCACCGTTCCCCCAGGGTGCTTGGCATAGCACCCAGGCTTCTCTGTTCCCTGTTTGATCCTCACAACAACCTTGTGAGGTAACGGCTGCCTTAAAATGTGATTTTAAGTTGTGGGTTTTTAAAATGTATTTTTATGGCTGTCGCTTTACTTACATCGAAAGCTGCCTTGAGATCTGTCTGGCCGAAAGGCTTCCCTGTGTAATCTGACATGGTAATTGGATGTGTTGTCCAGCATTTCAGTGTCTTGGAATAAGATACTGTGTCCTGTTTGAGTTAGGCTGTATTCAGCCACTGAAATTCATAAACGTAAACACAATTTCAACAGGAAAGAAGAGAGTTTAAAAATAAATAGGGCATGGTTTCCAGTCCTGAAAAACACAAAATTTCAACAGCCAATCCATTTGCAAAAGAACCTCCTCAGGAAAGCTCCTCCATTAGCATGTCACAGCCTGGGAAACTCCTAGAAGATAATGACTCAGCCCTACCCCACCTTCCTGAGCAGATATCAATTACCTGCCTGCCATTTTGCTTCTCACCTTGACACAGAGAGTACTCTTATCTATCTATGTTACACCTCTGAGGATACCAGTCACAGCTGCTGGCAAAACATCGGGTACTACAGTGCCAAGACCACAGCCATACAGCCCAGAAAATCTCCAACAACTAATGAACTCCAGCTGTGAAAGCGACAACAGATTAATTAATTACTTAATCAATCAATTAACTGCCAGTTATATCCTGCCTTTCCCTTCTCTTTTGTCTTCACAACGACTCTGTGAGGCAGGTTAGGCTGAGAGCGTGTGATTGGCCCAAGGTTCACCCAGCAAGCTTTCATGGCAGAGCAGGGATTTGATCCTGTTGGGTCTCTCTGAGCCTCGTCTGACACCCTAGCCACATTAACCATTATAGCTCAATGGAGCTCCCATGTGGAGAGGCAGTTATACAGTTGAATACCAAATTTCTTGAGGAGAAATTGCCAAAGAATGCCATCCCTTTCTTATTCTACTTGTACCTTCCCAGAGGCATCTAGTTGGCCTCCATAGAAAACAGAGCCCTGGATTAGTTGGACCCTTGAAGTGATCCAGGAAGACAATGCTTTACCATACAGAATACCCCACCGTGCTCCTAATCTACATTTGTCACTCTCCCCATAGCGCCGGGATAGGCCGCACCGGGACCATCATTGTCATCGACATGGTCATGGATATGATCTCCATAAAAGGTGAGGTAATTTCTGTCCCGTTCTGCTTCCCAGGGTCAGTTCTGTACCTCAGCTGTTCGTCTGAGTGAGGCAGGCTTTAGACAACGTTCACGCTCAGGACAAGAACAGGCAAACACCCACTCTGTAAAGTCAGGGGGGATCTGAACCTGGTTTCCCCGATCCCAGTCCGCCACTTGAACCACTGAGCCACACTGCCTTTATCCAGGTTTTTAAGGGAGGGTTTCCCTCTTATAAAGCTGTTTTTGTATTGTCTGCTTCTAGTCTGAGGACTGTTTTGTCATTTTTAGGCTGTTGTATGAAATTTTGTTTGCCTTGGTTTGTTTTTCTGTCTTTTCTTTTTGGTGAGTATTGTGTGTGTGCGCGCGCGCGCACGCTTGAAAGTCATGGTTTACTTCTGTAGTCGATAGTAAACCATGACTTTCAAGCGCAAGCGCGCGCACACGCACACACACACACACACACAATACTCACAGATGGTTAAAGGTGTATAAATGGTTAGAAGACCTGTTAACTGCTTAACGACTCTACTATTTATGTAAGGAATACAGATGGAATGTCTGATATGTAAAATTGAAAATAAAATTTTTTTTGCAAAAAAGAAAGAAAGAAAGTAAGTCATGGTTTACCTCTGGTGACCCCTAGTGGGGCCTGGACATTCCAGAGAGGTGGCTTGCTATTGCCTGCCTCTGCATCCCGGCCCTGGTATTCCTTGGAGCTCTCCCTTCCAAGTACTTGGCAGGGTCGGCCCTGCTCAGCTTCCGAGATCTGACGAGATCAGGCTTGCCTGGGCTTTCTGTCTTGTTTTTGATGGCTTGCTCAGTAGTGATAGCTCTTATGTTTAAATTGTTTTAACTTGCAAGCCACCCATAGTAGGCATCTGGCGAGGCAGCATATATGTTTTCTAATCAATTAATTAATCAGTCCGTTAATGAATAAGCCTGTACGCAGGGCTGGAATCAAATCCATACCCCATCATACTCAATAGGTCCTACTTCTGAGTAAGCATGCATTGAACTAC